TTTTTTCAGGAAGGTATACGGAATACTCGGCCTTCTCAATCCGAGTGTCCGTCGGGGGTTGTGGTTCCTTTCAGTTCTTTTGCCGGCTCACCGACGCTAAACAGCGCCTCCAACATAGGCTCGTAGTCTAGATCCAAGTTCACACCTCCTGACACAAGTACCCCAGTCTTGTGCCGGGCGCTCTGCTTAGTAAACACCCAGACGTCCTAAAAGCGCCTTTCGTTGGCGGTGTAGCGTGTCTACTGGGCGTATATTCATGTCCTGGGTGGCGACTTTCGGTGGCGCTCTTGAGGAGGGGCGAGCTTCCGTTCACCGGCTCGAAGGAAAAGTCGTCTGCGAGCACCACGGTGTCGTACTCCAGCCCCTGCGAAAATAAAAAAAAAGGAAAAAAAAACTGGTGTGAAAACCGTCATGCTTTTTCTGCTTCGGGAGACGGGCCAAGTTTTTCCGCACATGACAGGGCCAACAAATTCGAGATCTCCAATACTACACTTGAAAAGAGTGTCGGGTGTAATCATACGTCAATATTCCTTCCCATTTCCAGACAACAGTAAGGGAGACCACCAGCATCTGCATACAACAAGGTTGCCCACCTCGAGCGCGCTGTGTGTATGCGCTTCTTCAACTAGCATCGACCCCACTACGGTAACCGGCTCATCGACAAAAGGAGCCGGTGTTGGACGGTACTGTTGCAATCAACTCTTTTAGAGGCGAGAAGAGCCTGCTCGGCTCGACCTTCACCCAAGCCCCGAACCTGAGAACCCACTGATGCAAAACGTGGAAGGCAACCCACAAGAGTCGACAAATTTAAGCTGCCGAAGCACAGGATACCGAAAAATGAGAAATGCTCCCGAGTACCCCAAACGCTACTACTGAGTTGTGACTTCCGCGCTGCCGGGGATGCTTCGGAGCGACTTACATACAAGTGCAGCGAACTAAAAACCAATGCACAGACCGACATCTACCGCTCGGTACCGTACCTTGATCTTGTGGACGGTGGACAGGATCATTAGCGGGCCCTCGGAGTCCGGGCCTAGACCCATGGTTTCCACGACTCCCATGTCCGCCAAGACTTGGTGAGGGGTCTTGTCCGCCGATATGTAGTCGTCCACCATGCCCAGCTGGTATTCGGGGTTAGTGTCGATGGCGGGATACAAAGAGAGGGGGTGGGGGGTCAGGAAAGGAAGCCAGGAGAAGGGAAAAAGGACGTCAGAGATCAAAACGTGCAATAAATAAATACTTCCTTCATAAACAAGTCTTGAAAGAGAAATGCACGCTCACGAGCACACCGCAGGTGGCCGACAAGAAGGCGTTGCCATCACGCCCAAGTAGATCGACCGACACACGACAAGGAAAAATATCGTCGCAAAAGTGGGCTCTCGTCGTCGTCGTCTTCTTCACATCTTCACCTGAAAAAAAATGTAGAATGTTTCATGTAGACTATACATCCCCTTCCTTACTCTAAAAGGGGACGAGACGAACAAGGGATTCCGCAAGCAGAGAACACATGCATACAAGACAAAAAAGAATAGCCAACAAGAGGAAGACAAAGCTTCCCTGTGCTCTTTCAGCACAACGCGATTAGGAGAAGAGTAAAAAAAACAATCATGAGGGGGCAAATATGCTTCGTGATGTAGGCCTGAAGAAATTATCAGCAAAGAAGCGCCCACCGCTCAGACATCAAGACCGACTACACTACAAGCAAGTTGGGGCGACATGTAAACAATATTATCAATGTGTGCATCTTCGTGTGTCAGCAAACCAATCGGCAGCTGTTGCGCGGTTGGACAAGTGCGAGAGCGACACAGTTTACTCTCGTTAGGAACCAACAAACACAATTCAGCTGCCATCGAAAACAGAGCAGTTGTCCTTTTTTTCGCCTGCCCGTCAGGCAGATTAACAAACGGCACGAAAAAAAAAAACGTTTCGCAAACACATACCAACGGGGAGATAATCTTCATGTCGTTGTCGTCTGTTCCGTTGTCGACAACTTCTCGTAGCGCCGGGATGGACCCGATCTCCTTCAGGTCGGGGTTCTCAACCTCCCCAATTTCCCCCATCATTATGTGGCACAGGTCCTTCACCTCCTGCAACAATTGTGCAGATTTCGATCAAGGTCTTACGTCATCAATAGACAGCGTATCTCTCTTGTGGGGGATGAGATTATGTTTTTGCTCAAAACATGAAACACAGATCGACTTCGCGATGAAAATTAACAATCTACGAGAGTTCGGCAGTCAAGCCGGGTGGGGTTCTCGGGCCCTATCCGCCCAACACGTTGCGCATGTCGAGCACACTATCTTACCGTTTGTGAGGTTCATCGGTCTGTGTGAGACCCTGTTCCAAAATGGACTCAGTGGAGGAAAGTCTTGTTCGGTGACCACCCGGTTCGAATCAAAGATTCAAACGAAAGTGCTTCTTTCTGATTGTGAGCCCGTGACGGCAGCGACTTCGCGGGGGCTCGTGTTACTTTTCTGAGACCGATTTGCATGTGCGGGATGGGAGAGGAGAGGTTGCCGAGAATTGTATTGGAGGCGAAGTGGGCAAACAAAAAGAGGGGTAGACAACCCACGGAATGGGTCAAGGTTGTAGAGGACGTATGGAAGGGGCTCGACATCGACGAAGATGAAACGCTGGAAACGAAGGGTCTACAGGGGTTCAAGGAGAAGATATCTGTTGCTTGTGCCGAGAGAGAAGAACAGAATCTGAGGAAAGAATCCAAGGATAAGGAGGGTCTAGAAGTGTACGGAATGCTGAAGGAAGGAATAGGGTTCAAGGATTACCTACACGGACCAATGGATGCAGGAAAAAAGCTTAAGGTCAAATTCAGGACCGGGGACATAGGCCTTCGAGAACGTCGACGAAGACATAGGACGGTAGACGAGGAAGACGACGAGTTCAAATGTGATTGCGGCTTCGAATGCGAAGACCGTGTTCATGTAGTCGCGGAATGTCCGTGGTACAAGAAGGAGAGGCAAGTGTACGTGGCTGAGCTGGGAAAAATAGATGGGACATACAGGGAGATGTTTGAGGCATGGAATAGAGAGGAAAGGACGGTAGCTGTACTTGGGCATAGGAGGTGGGTTGAAAAGGCGGGAAGGGATATCGTTAGGATAGACAGACTAGGGAAGACATTTTTGAGCCACCTTTGGCAAAGTACAAAGGAACGATTGGCCATCGGTGATCGGTCCTGTGGGAACGATGCTCCGTCCTCTCGAGGACGCGTGGTCAATGGTCTAACCGCTAAGGCATGCAAAACATAAGAGTACCCCCCCCCTCCCGCACAAAAACATCCATCCTAGATGAACCGAAGAAACACGAAGAAGTCTTACACAATTCGCACTCCCCCCCAGCCACCTTCGCGAAGTAAAAGAAAAAAGAAAACTCAAAAAATGATTCTGCAGAACATCAACCCGACGCCCCCACCTGAACATTCGGCGCTCTATCGTCCATGAAGGCAGCCCGGTCACCTCGACCAATGGCAGCGATTGCTTCCGTCATGAGCCCCGCGTTGGTCCTACAGGGTAGACCGCGGACGAACGTCAGTGTGCACAAGTATTCAAGCGTTCGCGTGGTTCCTTTCAGACTTCATTCAACACATTCCTCCGGTTGGGAGGCGGCTTTGTCTCCTGTGTCGGGCAGTCTATCGGTGATGGTTTGAGCATGTTCAATAAATTGCGGCCATTTTTGTCGAGAGCCTCGTTCCGTTCATGTGGTCCCAAGGCATTGACGAGACTTCGTATTTTTTTTCAAGTGCTGCACCAAAATGAAAAAAGGTGGGAGAAAAAATCGACCATATTCCCGCACTTGAAGAGACGCAAACCCCCACCACCCCGTTTCGTCGGTGAGGGCTAGCGACTTAACCTTATGATGTAGGCGAAGCGTCCTTTGGACCCGCAGTCCTGCTGGAGCCACTCGTGTCTCTCTTGCTCGAACACCACCTGCGTCCGTCAAGACAAAAAACAAAACACCCGATTAAAGCAGTAGTCTGGACTACGCAGGATTTTTGTTGAGTACCCAAACTTGCTGGATTAAGTGAGAATTGGCTAAGAGTAAAGCTAGAGGTGGAGAGATCGGAACGGTTTTTGATGTAAAAGCAACCACAACGATACACAACAGTAGCTCGAGTGCACCTCAAGGCCCAGCTCTGAGATCGAGATTAGTGCACGCGAGGAAGAGTCCATGCGGGCGCGAATGTCACTGGCTGGCGTCTGTCTCACCTTGGCCGGGCCTTCAGGAAACGCCAGGCTTCCTAGCAGAGGGCGCCTCTCTCGCTTCAGTCCGAGCAGCACCGTGTTGGCGACGCCAGCGATAGGATTCGGGAAGCGAAAGACCTTGCCAAGCAAGACCGACACAAACACAAAGAGCGAAAGAGCGACACAGACAGAGGTGGACCGAGAAAGGCAGAAATAGAGAGAAAGAAGAGACAGAGAGAGACAGAGAGATAGAGAGTGGGGGGGGGGGGG